TAAAAAAGTGCACACGTTCACATAGATAACTTCTGAAGACGTATTAAACGTGTAAATATCTTAATGTGAGAGCAGTAACAAGGTTCACCAGGAGAGTATGAGAAACTGTCTTTGGTCAGCCGCTGCGCGCGCGCTCGCCCTCACACAGGCGCTTATTGCTAGGAGCGGGCGCCCCTGGTGCTGCTGCTGTCTCCAACGGGTGCTGCTGCGTCGGTCGGGCGGTGGGTCCTGCTGCTGCTGCTGCACGTGTGCTGGCTGCGCGGCGTGTGTGGTCGCCCTCTGGCCAGGTGCGTGGGCGCGCGCCTTGCGGGGCCACGTGGAGGAGTTGCCCGGGCAGTCGAGGCCGCGGGGGGCGGGGGGAGGGCCGACGGGGGCGCCGGCGGGGGGCCGGAGGCGCCCTCCCCGCGGAACGACGTGGTCATGTCTTGGCCGTCGTAGAAGGTCCCGCCGTAGTAGTCGACGACCTGGGCGTGGTGCTGGTAGTCCGGGGGCGTGGCCGGGTACGAGCCCCCCTGCAGGTGCTCGGCGGCGGAGAGCACCGTCACCAGAGGGCGCCGCCATCATACGCGCAGCTCCTCGTAGGGCGGGATCTTCCCCCGGGGGGCCCGGCACGTGACCGGCAGGAGCGGCTGCGACTCCGCCGGCATCAGCCGCGGCGGCGGCGGCGCCCGCGGCATCACGACCTGCTGCGGCTGCTGGAGCTGCTGTTGGAGCTGCTGCTGCTTCTGCTGCTGCTGTCCGCCGACGAGCGTGGCGCTGCCGTTGGGGATGTTGGGGGGCGGCACGGCCACGCAGTGCCCGCCGCCCTCCACGGCCAGCGGCGTGTCGGCGAAGGCCGGCGGGCACTCGGAGATGTGCGTGAAGGCCTGCGTGTGCGCCAGCGGCGACGGCGGCGGCGCCTTCAGCGAGGCCGGCACGCTGAGCGGCGGCTTCGTCACCTCCAGGTTAATACTCGACCCTAATGTAGGGCCGGAAGCCGAGCTGATGGCCGCCGCCATCTGCTGCTCGCTGCTGCTCTGGCTGTTCTGCTGGCTCTGCTGCTCCTGCTTGTCGCCGAGGCGCGACCGGTCCCGCTGGTAGTACACGCCGGCGAAGATGAGGATGTTGAGGATGAGCAGCGACACGCCGATGGCGATGGTGACGGACAGCGCCGTCGAGTAGGCCACGTAGTCCACGCCCTCGGGCTTGGTGGCCTCGGCGTGGGCGGTGGTGTTGGGCGCGAAGGCCGGCGGCTTGCCGCGGCCCGGCTGGCTGCGCCGCGGGAAGCCGGGCGTCGTGTTGAGGCGCGAGAAGAGCGACGGCGTCGTCGTGGTGGGCGGCGCGGGCGTGCTGGTCGTCGACGGCAGGATGTAGTGGCCCGCCATGTGCTGCAGAGGCCGCACGGGGCCGCTGTACAGGTCGGGGTCGTCGTACTGCGAGAACAGGTGGTGCAGCACCGACAGCTCCTGCAGCTGGTCCTCGGCCGCGACGTCCTCCGCCTCCGGGTCGTGCAGCGTCAGGAACTCGAGGCGCCCGACGCGCTGCAGCTGCGGGATCAGCCACGTCCACAGGGCCAGCTGGTGCGCGCGGTAGTGGTCGCGCAGCTTCGGCTTCAGCCCTGGGGGAGGGGGGGGGAGATCGGAATTAACAGAGGCTCTGTTTGGAGGCGAGACAGTATGTTCACGCCCCTCTATCACTATCTCTGTATATCTATATATATTCATTTATCACAGATGTCTATTTCTATGTGTTTATACTCATCTAAACTTAAAATTTATCTATATATCTATCTGTTTATCTATCTAACTATTCACCTTTTTATCTGTATACCTATCTAACAAGTTAGCTGTCCTTCTACATCTTTGTCTCTTCATACTTTTTTATCTATCTGTTCACTTTGTCTATCTCTCCAGCTGTCTCCCCACCGATCTCTATCTTTATCTACATATATTCATTCTTCTTTTCTTCCTTCTACCTGTTCATCCGAAACCTTCTTTTCTGTTTGTTCCTCATAACTATCTAATTATTTATCAATTCATCTTTCTATTGCCATCTATCTAAATTATCTATCTATTTATCTTATTTTAATGTCCTTTTAAGCGATCTATCTAGGAATTTATTGGTCCAACATGTTTGTCTTTATCAGACACTTATATGGATGAATGTTAAGAAAAAAAAAAAAAAGCACAAACATACTAACTTTTTTGTGTGTGCGTGTGTGTGTTGTTGTGTGTGTGTGTGCGTGCGTGTGTNATGTCTCGCAGTTTGTGGCAGTGACAAGCCTTGTTGCATTGTGAAAGTGCATAACTTCTGACCGCAAGCTCCAGTGGTTGTTTTCGGACACAGCCTCGCCAGTCTATGAATAAAGCAAAAAGAGGAAAAAAGAGAGCGAAGCGTAATGGTCAAAATCACTATCATTTTCATTCTCCGAAGTGAATCCAGGAGATGGTGGAGGACGAATAAAGTGAAACGAGAAAGAGAGACAGGAGGAGAGGAGAAAAGAGTAGAGAAATGAGGGAGAAGAAAGAAACGCAATGCTCGAAATCACTCATTCTCATTCTCCGAAGTGGATCCAGGAGATGGTGGAGGACGAATAAAGTGAAACGAGAAAGGGAGACAGGAGAAACGAGAAGAGAAATGAAGAGATTCGCAGCTAAAGTTCAAAAAGGATTGAATTAACCGCGTGAGGCTACACAGCACGCAGGAGAAACAGCAGACGCGGTGGCATTTCGGGAGAAAAGTGTAAGTAAACATTGCGAAGACAGAATCATTAGCGGGTGTGCGTTTGGCTTTGCGAAAGGGTCAGAGGGTGAGCGAGGGAGCCAGTAAGCAAGCCAGGGTGAACAAGATCCTCGCTGGTGAACACGCGTGGTGAACAGCAAATAGGAGAGTGAACACAGTGAGTTATGGAAAAGTGAGCGAGAACGGATTTTGAAAGGCAAGGAGGACTAGTTCGTGTTTTGAAGTGTTTCGCGAATTCTTGTGATTCTTTGTGAAAATGGATGATTTGGGGGAGGAGAGATAAAGACGGATAATTGTATGTGAACAAGAACTGCGGCAATTGCAAGATGGTGATGATGATACGGAGAACAAAAGTGCGATGATGGTTTGGACGCCAGACAGACAGCAGCGGTATTGAGAAAGGTGCCAAAGAAGAGGACGGTATCGAGTGTTGACTCCGAGTGCATTCCGATGTGAACAGAACGCTAAAAAAAAAAGAAACACTAACGAATGTGCAGGTGAAACACCTCTCAAACCCTCAAATTTTTTTTTTGCATCTCCGTTTACTTCCAACATTCGGAAAAGGACACGAAAGATAAATGGTCACAGAATCCTCGCATATGAACGCCACACTCCCGGTTATGAGGCGGCGTCGAGCAACTTCCATTTTGTGAGTTCGTGGAGTCCCTCTCTCCCTCCCACCCCCTTCCCCTCTTCCTCCCAGACCCACCTACCCCCGCTATGTCGCCTCGCCTCTCCCCCCTCCCTCCCCCTCCACCTTCTTCCGAAACTTGCTCGGGTGTAAACGAACGTCGATTATTCGCGTGGGAATATATTGGCGGTGATCGCTAAATTTATGACCAAATATTTCTCTTTTTTTTTTTTTTTTTTTTTTTTTTCTCTCTGTCTGGAAAGTTTAGCAATACAATAATGTCTTAATGGCTTTCGTGCAGTCACGGTGAGATATGTGCTTGCGTAGAGGAAATAGTATGTGTGAATCTCTTGGTTTCACACATGCAGATATACATTCACACTTGCATATATATATATATATATAATAATATAATATATATAATATATATATATATACAAAAATATATACACATTAGTAAATGCTTACACACAACACACACCACACACACACACACACACACACACACCACACACAACACACACACACACCACACACACACACACACACACACACACACACGCAGAACTTACAAGGAAAAGACATAGTCAAGAAGTCAAAGAAATCGACAGCAGACGCCAGGCGATTCCATCAGCCACACACTCGATGAATGGAGTGTGTGAAAGTCTTTGGTCGAGAATTGCCTCCTCCTCCTCCTCCTTGTCTTCTCTTCTTTTCCTCTTCTTCTTCTCGCTATTTTCCTCCCATCTTCGTCTTTCTTTTTCTCTTCTTTTTTCTGTTTCTTCTTTTTTCTCTTCTTTTTCTCTTTCTTCTTCTTCTGCTTCTTCTTTTCCTCTTTCTTCTTCTCTCTTTTTTCCTCTTTCTTCTTTTTCTCTCATTTCGCCTTCTCCTTCTTCTTCTTCTTTTTCTTCTCCTCCTCCTCCTACTTCTTCTATTTCTTTTCTTTCCTTCCCCTCTTCTTCTTCTATTTCTTCTCCTCCTCCTCCTCATACCTTCTTCTTCTTTTTCTTTTTCCTTTTCTCCATCTTTTCTCCTAGTGATGTTACCACGGTTTCGGACACGCGATTCTTTGTTTTTCGTGTTTGTTTTTATTAGTTGTTGTTATAAGTACAGGGATTCCTTTTGCTGTTGTTGTTATTGTTTAATGTAGATCTGTGTCTCGGTAATATTTCTTGGGTTGTGCTTAGGCCTGTATGATTTATTTGACAACATTTTTTTGTGATAACGAGGTTATTAATTAATAATAATATAATTATAATTAATGAGGATTAATGTTTTGTAATTGCGACGGTAATATTAGCATTATGGTAGACGTAAATAATTAGAAAAGGCAGTAGTTAAAATGTTTGTGCGCGCGTGTTGAAATGTATTTGTCCAAGACCTCAGTGTATCTCGGATTTTGTTGTTTATCTGTTAGTTTATTTATAATTCATCCTGTCTGTGATTATTATGGTTTCATTTGTTTAACGTCCTCGAACTTCTTTCAAATAAAAAGGCTTGATTTTTATCCTTTTTAACGACGAACCGGCTGTAGGAACTGCATACCTTACAAATGCGTGTGTGTGTGTGTGTGTGTGTGTGTGTGTGTGTGTGGTGTGTGTGTGTGTGTGTGTGTGTGTGTGTGTGTGTGTGTGTGTGTGTGTGTGTGTGTGTGTGTGTTTTCTGCATGTATATGTGTGTGTGTGTGTGTGTGCGTGTGTGTGTATGTGTGTGTGTGTGTGTGTGTGTGTGTGTGTGTGTGTGTGTGTGTGTGTGTGTGTGTGTGTGCGTGTGTGTGCGTGTGTGCGATGGGCGTAGTGACGGCAAGAGCAGCGGGCGCCCTTGCCCTGA